GGAGTTTGAGGTTGCTGTGAGCTAGGATGACGCCACGGCACTCTAGCCCGGGCAACACAGTGAGACTCTGTCTCAAAAAAAAAAAAAGAAATGAAGGTTTATTTCTTCTTATCAGTAATTCTGGATCACTTAAGACATATTCTTATATAAGCTTTTTTACTGAAATATTCCATATCCTAATCAACTTTCATTTTGATTAATTTCTTAATGCTATTGCCAAACTTCTATTTTCAAACTATTTGAGGTAAACACAGCATTAAAATCCAATGAAGGTGAAAAGCATATAACCTGGCTCTTTAGCCCACTAAAATCATCAGCATTTTCTAATGTAGTTTAAACCACCTGTCTCAGATTTTCAAAACAAACTTTCTATTCTAAGTATGAAGAAAATATACAAGTGAAAACCTTTATTTTTTTCCATGGTATTTCAATAATGGTAAAAATTAAACAACCCCCTTAACATCCTTTTGCATTTTATTATTCTAAGATGGTCCATTAAAAATTTGGTAGATGTAAAATATATATTTTATAAATTTTCCACTCAGTTTCTAACAAATTTTGCTTTAATGTTTGTTTGCCTGTAAGATTATAAACATGGTTTCCTTTAGATAAAATAAACATTATTCTTTTATAAGTAAGACAAAGTAATTGGAGTCTCTTTCTTAAATTAAATTACCCTCTTTAATTAAGTTACCCACTTACATTTTGCCAATTGCTGGTGCAAATTATTCAGTGTGTTCATCAGATTTTTACATGGCTTCTTTGGAAGTATCTTCCATGCTACATTTTTCTTGTCACCAGTTCTAAGATTAAATGACAATAATAATACATTTGTACCATGGACTTTTTTGAGGGAAAAGTGTATATCTGTTATATTAATATACAAAAATGGCAAAAGAGAAAACACATTGAACCAAAAATGAAACACACACAAAATATTCTAGTTAACAGGAGAAAAATCCTACAGGGGTAAACTTGTATGTTTATCGCAGCACTATTCACAATAGCAAAGATATGGAACGATGCTCTGTGTCTTTCAAATAGTTTCTTCTGCATATTTGCTAATAGGATTGTATCTAATGTGCCTGAGAATGAGCCACTCCTATGGAAATGGATTACAAACAAAGTT